CTGTAATATTTTGTGAAGCTTTAAAACTAGCTAACCTGAGATTATATTGTAGAAAAACAACAGTTGAAAATCCCTCTAATATTCCTTTTGATACCATTTTAAAATCTGGTGCAAATGTTGATCAAGTAACTCTCATCGATAACCCTTACTGGAAGGATGTTTTGAAAGCTTGGAATAAATATTGTAAAAAAAGTCATGTTAACGCAGGTAATATTTATGAAATCCTAGCCCAACCACTATGGTTTAACCATAATTACAAAAAACAAACACACTCCAATAAAAACTGGGCAAGTAAAAGCATTCTTACAATTAAGGACCTGTGTAACGAAACTGTTTTTTTATCCTTTGACAAGTTGAAGGAAATATATAGTATTAACTCATTAAGGCCGAGAGACGCATATATGGGGCAAATTAATCAGCTCCTCACAGCGAGTGACGTTTTTATGGGGCAGGCAATTAGCAGTTTCTCCCAGCGAGAGCCACATACAGTCGTCAATAGAAAGCACCTCTTATTCAGCGAGAGACGCACATGTGTGTTGTACTTTTAAAAATCGCACTGTACCTATTATTTCAACCAATTTAGCAGTACTGAGCAAATGTTAGCTTTTCTTACGAGAGGTCCCACCTTTAGTATCAATCAGAAGAAGTATTTAAAGTGTTTTGATAACATTTGCTAATCATTATCATAGGCTTGTACAGCGTTTAGCAAATGAACGCATGTCGGCGAGAAGGGGGATTATGGTGTTTTTACAGAGGTAAGTGCCTGGTACTCTTCCTTGGGAATGGATACTAAAATACTTCGTATGCACCTTGATTGAAGTAGATGTAATGGTTTAGAGATTACTAAAAAATATATTTCCTTCAACTACCTAATAAATAGGAAACAATATACGAAATTTCAAGGACATACAAAGAATGCAAACACAATAGAATAGTTTGAATTTACTTTTAAGGCATGTTTCATATACTCAAACATAATGTATAAACACAAGTAATTATACATCCAAGCTCGAATAAATTAAACATAATTGAACTTACTAATTTGAAGTTTACTGAATTGTAACTAGTTGTTTTCCATAATCTAAAGTTCGTAATGTTACCTAAGCGAATATAAAGTGATAAGTCGCGCCTTTGCATCGAATACATATATACATTTCAGTGTTATTACAACAATGAAATGTTTTACTTATACGTTTGTTACAAAAGACAGTAAGTTGGTAATTCAAAACATTGTCACACATGGACAGAAGTAATATCATAAGTTATTACATGTAAGCCATACAAAGGTATTTCAAGCATTTTTGTTCAAGCTGTTGAAAGTTTCATGTTGATTTGAATTGTCAGTTTTCTATGCAATTTACATGAGCATTCTGTAAAACGTTTGTATTTGATCTGTGTAATTATCAAATCCGGTGCAATTATCACGTGTATCAATCAACCCAGTCTCTATGGATCCATCATCAATAAAAGCTGGATAGTATATCAGTTACGGTATCGATACACATGCGTATAATCATTCAAGCAGATTACAGTAATGAGATAATTGAACGCCTCTTTCGACCTTGAAATAACAGCCTCCGGTAGAATGCATATGTAGTTACGTCCTTGTTGAAAGGTTTGTCCCGTGACAAGTGTAAATAAACAGATGCGCTGTTATATCATTGGACATCTTGCTTTATGGAGTCACGCCCCTCTCTGTGATGTTTATTCATGCATGCACATCTGTAATCTTATGAACCTCGTTTGCATTCAGTAAAGATATAAGCACGCCCACCTTCATAAATATTGGGGGTGGGGTGTCAACTGCATGTTTATACACTATAATAATTCAGTATAGTGTCACCTCGTGAATTCTGTAATGCGCGTACTCTAGTTTGGATAGTCATTCGTATCAAGGTGAAGATTATATTTACATGTACAGCAAACCATTATGTTTTATGTACTAGTTGTGTGCATAAAATGTATATGAAAATAAATACTACCTCTACTCAGTGGTTGGATTTCAATCGCTTTGTTTTACTTATCGAAAAACACTAAAATAAGGACAAATAAACTCGCCAAAGTGACTATCTACTCCTAGTTGTCTTATGTGTATATTTCATAGATCGTTACCAGTGTGTATGTTTACAAGACACAAACTGTTACATGATAGCTTGATTTGATAAAGCCGAAACCCAGCATATCGACTGGTCAAGGATATAGCCAATAACCAATCTCTATCCAAGCTGCTGAGTGACCAAACGTGCTCTTCAGAAATTTCGCCCACGCCCCCGTCACCTGTCCTTTCCTCTGTGACATGTATCTCATGATACGATTGGTCACAGATAACATATGACCAGCCACTTCATTGAACAGTTGAGATACCGAACGTTCTATTAGGGAAATTCGATGACGCCCTATCACGTGACTCTTTGTTTTACGTCTATCCAAGGAATATGTAGTATACATTTTGTTTATGTATGTTTTCTGCATTAAATCTGTATGAAATAAAGTGCAGTGCTATGAATGTGCTTTGTACGACTAGACAGTTTCCTGTGATCCCCGAAACCTGCCAGGGAAATCAGGTGTGACTAGCACTAACTAGTCTCGGCACAGAGAGTGGGCAATCAGCGAGGGCTTCCAGGTGTTGAGTAGTGATGGGGCTCTCGGGCGTAATGAGTTAAGCAAGTGTTTATCATTGTCATCCATATTGAAATGAGTGATGCTGTTGCAGCCGAGGAACATGGATCACTGCCACCAGTTGTTTGTTACACCACCACCACACACAACTGAGTACCGGGCACACCTGGAGCAGTCGCCGCTGTAGCACTTGAGGGTTGCTTCGAACACTCTTGGTAAGATACTACGAAGTGTTTTCATGTCACCTGTATGATCTTTCGTGAGTTCTTTTAGTATCAGACTGCACCGTGCTTTGACATCCGGGCTCAGCACCTTCTTTGCTTCCATTTTATGTGTACGAGTAGTGCCGGGGAACATATCTGGGTTAAAATCAGCTCTGTAACATTGTCGGAACTGTCCTTGAGCCAAGTTGGTGGGGTTAGCTAGCCGTGGCATCTTCCACATTGGGTCCAACACTTTCAGAGCTTTGTCTACTCCATCTGCATACTTCGAATCCCCATTGGTTGTAGCATACTTTATGAGTACACCCTGTAGTGCGAGCTGATTACCAATGTCCTCTCCCATATTGAACTCAGAGAATGGAGTGAAGGCCGATATGTTCGCAGTACAGTCTGGGTGCCCCCCTGGACATTTCACATCCATGCCTTTTCCTTTCAGCCAGGCACCAGTCCAGCAGAGCTTATTCTGGAATGACGCACCGATGATGAACTTCTTGTCACTAACAGTTTCGCAGGTGATGCCGATTGCCTGTGATGCATTCTGCCCTCTTCCTCCTTGCTATTGTTGTCGAGTTGTATCGGCCATCCATAGCAATGTTCATCTCACATGGCTCAGTAACCCTCTTTCGATTAACTTCCTTCACTAACTTCACCTTTTCTTCAATATCCGTAGTGTTAAGTTCAGTTACAGCCTTAGCCACCTTGTTGGAGGTCCTCTGCATACTGCTCCTGCATGGGGGTGGAATGTCCATGTTGGCCATCAGTAACCTCGCTCTCGTATTTCCTATAGGTGTGTCCTGTAGACCCAAGGCAAGTCCGCCGTTGGGTGCTGCTGGGTTTGGCACATGTTTACCTGTCTCGATTTCTTTGTATAACTTAATTTCAGGTGCTACAAAGTCACATGTGACACATTTCAGTGTTATTTTCAAGCATGCTCCCCATTTTCTCTCCTTGGCTATCTGCAGCTGAGAGTCGTCTCAGTCACTGGATGTTGACCGATGCAGTCGCAGAGCTGTGTTCCGTGCTTCGGCCACCTTTTCATTGTCAACTAGTCGCATACCCTCCAAGTCATCTTTGCTTTACTCTTGTTTCAGGTCATGCTCGCTGGTTGAAGTGGGACGCAGCAGCCTCACTGAAGTAGAGATGCCATCACAGTCAGGTGTTGACAGCCCAGTGCCATCCAGCCTTGACTTTGTGACCAGGGAGAAGTCTTGTGCTGTAAGCTTTTTATTCCTCAATCGTGTGGTAAATTGCTACAATAAGAAAACATATAATTACTTACATTGCCAAAACATATTACAATCTAAAGTTCTAAACACATGGGCCAAAATACACACGTTTTCCTAGCCAAAGTTAGCAGAAAGAGATTTTATGAATGCTTCATTCAGTTTAAAAAGCACATGGCATAAACTCTGAAAGAGTCTGATAGAAATTCGAACCAAATTTACATTAAATGATAGAAATATGGGTTACAATGTACTGCAAAACACTATCAAACATATTGAGTGTGTACTTACACCATGGGGAACTATAGTTTGGCATGCAATGCCTTAAACCCAAATTACTAAAAAACATCGCGTGTGCGATCCATAACAAACTGAAACCTAAAACCAGGATCTTCCGGTGAGTTGCGACACAGAAGATTGTGCAGTGCATACCACTAAAATAAATTGTGCAAAACATACTGCAAATACATAAGTGAGTGAGTGAGTTTTACGCCACACTCAGCAATATTCCAGCTACATGGCAGCGGTCTGAAAACAACAGTCTGGATCCGACAATCCAGTAATCAACAGCATAAGCATTGATCCATGCAATTGGGAACCAATGACATGTGTCAACCTAGCCAGCGAGCCTGACCACCCCATCCCATTAGTTGCCTGTACGACAAGCATGGGCTACCAAAAACCAAACCCAACCCTAACACAGGTTACTAAAATAGAATACATACAAACTTGTCACATGTGACAGAACACTCCCCGTTTGATACCTTGTGAAAGATATCATATAATTCACCAAATTAATACAATACATCAAAACATTCAAAAGCATGTATAATAAACTACAAGAGATGTCCATCATCTCTTAAGATTACTCCAAATCCTAAGAAAATGCAATATATTCTAAACTTCTCAAAGCCTTTGTGCGTTTAAAATTTATAAGTCACTTATCATTTGCTGATACTTTCATCAGCAACACAAGTTCTGTGATTGGGCGAGTTAGTTTCAACACAGAGTTCTTGCGGATAACACGAATAACAGCTTTTCGTATTTTGCCATCCTCACTCTGAATGGCATTTTCGACCAGTCCAATAGGCCATTCATTGCGAACAGTGTCCTTTTCTCTCAGAAGAACAACATCACCTTGCTCAATGTTAGGTTTACTGTCAAACCACTTACGTCTAGCCTGTAGGGTATGAAGATAGTCAGTTTTCCACCTTGACCAAAATTGTTCAGCGAGTGCTTGCACTAGCCTCCACTGAGACTGATACAAATCTGTCATGTTACAGTTTGTCACAAGATTCTCCGCATGATCTGACTTGAGCGTCAACAAAGAAGAGGGACTTAATATACCTGGAACTTCAGGGTCCGAGGAAACTGGTACTATTGGTCTTGCATTAACAATTGCACAGATTTCTGCCATTAGTGTTGTCAACACATCCTGAGTGAGATTTCTATGAGACACATTTGCTAGCATAGAGTCTAGGATTCTTCTCACTACTCCAATCATCCTCTCCCATACACCTCCCATATGGGATGCCTGAGGTGGATTGAAGATCCAACTAGCCTTGTTATCAGACAGGAACCTTTTAATTGGCTCATCCTCTACATTTATGACATTCACATTGAGAACACTGCAAGCTCCAGTGAAATTTGTGCCCCTGTCCGAACGGAATTCCTTCATTTTGCCTCTGATGGATATGAAGCGCCTCAGCATGTTGATAAAAGCCGAGGTACTCAGCTCATCTATCACCTCTATGTGGACGGCTCTGATGACAAGGCAAGTGAACAACAAAGCCCAATGCTTGCTATTTGCCTGTCCTCCCCTGGTGCGTCGTGTGGTGACGGACCATGGGCCGAATGTGTCCACGCGTACAAAAGTAAATGGAGGACATGGAGTTAGGCGATCCTCTGGCAAATCTGCCATCTTCTGTTCAGCGCCTCGGCCTCGCAGTTTGCGACACTTCACACACTTGAAAATCACAGAGTTTATTAGGCGCTTGCCACTGGTGATCCACAGGCCCGCAGCTCTAACGGCTCCCTCCCTGAAGTGACGTCCTTGATGATTCACTTGCTCATGGTACATGCGAACTAGAAGTAGCGCTATGTGATGACGACCAGGTATGATCAGTGGATTTTTTAAGCCAACTTCTAATTCTGCTTTGTTGAGACGGCCACCTATCCTGAGCATTCCGTCTTCGTCAACGAATGGATTCAATGAATAGAGTGGGCTGTCCTTCAATATGGACATTTTAGAGTGGATGCGCTGTATGTCTACAGCATAGTATTCACACTGAACTTGACGAATGATGAAGTTTTCAGCTGTGATGTAAGCATATGCACTTGAAAAGGCACTTGGAGAGATGTGATGTCTATCGCGTGCGATACTCTGGAGTCCCACTATAGCACATACAAGTTTCTTCCAATCCGAAAATCTCTCAAAACGCTGAGTTTCAAATTGTGGTTGTGACTTGTCAACCTTTGTGACACATGACCTTACTTCACTTTGTAATTCATAGTCTTGATCCATGTTAGGGCTGATCACTGTCTCTGTGGTGTCTGATTTCCTAGGGAGTTGAGACGGGCCATTTGCTATCTCCTATTATGGTTGCCGGCATGAATCTTGTTCCACAGTCTGCTGGGTTTGTACCTGTCTCAACATAGTTCCACTGCTGTGGAGAAGAAAACTTTCTGATAGTAGCTACTCTGTTGGCTATGTACACTTGAAATGTTCTAATTTCATTAGAAATGTACCCAAGTACAATGCGACTGTCTGTGAAGTATTGAACAGATGAGCATGGCGCTTCTAGACTCTCACATACTATGCTCCCTATTTCTACTGCCAATACAGATGCACATAACTCAAGACGAGGAATTGTATGTCCATGCACTGGAGCAACTTTTGATTTTCCAAGGAGAAAACCGATTTCTGATCCTTTTTCATTTTGTCCAACGAGATATGCCACAGCTGAAATTGCTTTTCCTGAGGCATCTGCGTACACTTGTACTTGTTTCTAAGTTTCTTCAAAGGTGAGTTGTAAAAATGCTCTAGGAATGTTCAGCTGTTCCAGTGCACTTAAAGAGTCTCCCCAGCTTTCCCATTCCTCCTGATATTCACTTGGTAGGGGATCATCCCAATCAACCTCCTGATTTATCAACTCCCTGAGGACACCTTTCCTTGAATGATAACTGGTGCAACAAATCCCATGGGATCATACACACTATTGATGGTTGAGAGGACACCCCGCTTTGTGTACGGCTTCTTCTCACCTGACCATCTGAATGTGAACGTGTCGGTCTTGACATCCCACAACATTCCGAGGCTCCTCTGTAGCGGAAGTTTGTCGCCGTCAAAGTTTAAGTCTTTCAAATCCTTGGCCAAGTCATCATTGGGGAAGGATTTCATCACTTCATGATTATTTGAAATGATCTTGTGCAGTCGAATGTTACCGAAGGTTTTCAAACCTTGCTGCGTTCTCTTCACGAGATTGACCGCTTCACTTGCAGTGAGTTTTGACAGAAGTCCATCATCAACATAAAAGTCACTTTTGACATAGTTCACCACATCTTCCCCAAACATGTCTCTGGCTTCTTCTGCAGTTTTGTGTAGACCATAGGCTGCTATGACTGGAGATGGGCGGTTACCGAAGACATGTACCCTCATTCGGTACTCAGTCAGCTCCTTGTTTGGGTTGTTATCTTCATACCAAAAAAATCGTAGATAATTTCTGTGATCCTCTCTGACTTGGAAGCAATAGAACATCTGCTGTATGTCTCCCATTACTCCCACCTGATGTTTTCGAAACCTGAGAAGAATTTCGAGAAGACTGTTTATCATGTCAGGCCCTTGTAACAAAACATTGTTCAATGATACACCTTTGTATGGAGCAGAAGACTCGAATACCATACGGATCTGATTAGGTTTTCTTGGGTGGTAAACACCAAACAATGGCAAATACCAGCATTCTTCATTTTCTTTCAAGGGTGGGGCTTTTTCCGCATGGTTGTCAAAAATCTTAGCCATGAAGTCCATAACATGCTGTCTCTTAACAGAGTCCTGTTTCATACTTCTATCTAGTGTCCTTGCTCGTTTCATGGCTTGACATCTGTTATTTGGGAGAACGGGTCTGGTCGACTTGAATGGAAGTGGTGCAATCCAGTTACCTTCACTCCCTTTGTACATTTCTTTGTCCATTATTTGAAGAAATTGCTGATCTTCAATAGACAATCCGGGTTTGTCATCATCTTTGCCTTGATGAAACACTGTGTGTCCAATAGAGTTTTCACATTGCTGCATACAACATGGTGCACACAGTTCTTTCACACTAAATAAGTTTGGACATGGTTTGAAGACTGTAGGTCTTCCGCTTGGTAGAAGATTTGTCTTACTGACATTCACAAAGTCTGGTTTGTGTATCTTGCCGATACAACTCTCACCAATAATTACCCAACCCAAAGGTAATTTTTGTGCATATGGTGTATTACCTGGCCCGATGCGGTGGTCATAAACATGGTGCGCTTGGATCATGTCCCGTCCGATGAGCAAAAGAATATCACATGAATTGTCTATTGGAGGAATGAAACTTTCAATATCGTTGAGATGCGAGTAGTGGCTCGCTTCTTCAGGAGTGGGTATTTCATCCCTCTGATTGGGTATAGAATTGCATTCGATAATTGCTGGAAGTTCAAGACTGCTACTACAATCAAGAGGCTCAACAATAAAACCTGATGCTTTCCTTCCAGAAGTCTCTATCACACCTGAACATGAAGAGAGTGTATAAGGTATTTCATCGCATTTCACATTGAATGCGTCAAAGAACTCTGTTCATGCCAAAGTTGAGTTACTCTGGTCATCGAGCAAAGCATACATCTTCACTGTAAAGTCTGGTTGCCCCTTGGGGTGTACATTTACAAGAACCGTCTTGGCACAAGACTTTCCACTGAACCCGTTCCTACATTCTGAGTGCACTTTATTGAAATGGGGTCATTTTGTGTACTTTTCCTGAAAGTCTGTTCATGCTCCCCGCCATTATCTCTTGGCGATGTGGGACTACGATTACCTTTTGGGTAGTTGACAACATGAAGCGCTGTAGCATGTGTACGACTATTGCACTCCCCACACTTCTCTGCTTTGTTGCACATTTTTGCTATGTGCTCAGTAGATGAACAGCATTTGTAGCAAATGCGATTTCTTCACAAAACGTCTTTCCTTTCCTCATACTCCTTCATTCTGAAAGCCTTGCACTGATTTAGATAATGTTTTGTTTTGTGTAGCGGACACAAAGTTTGGCTGTCTGCAGATTTGCTCTCTGCGACATCAGTCTTCCTCGAATTGACAGAGGGGCGCACCTGTTTGAATGTAGATAGAGATTTGTCTTGTGTGTGCGGTACACTTGAGCCAGTTTCATATGCAAAGCTAGGGTCATTTCTCATTTTGCTTGTTCTTCGCAAGAACTCTACAAACACAGAGAAGGGAGGGAATGAGACATTATGCTTATCTTTATAATTAGTGGCGTGGCTTGTCCACTTTTCTTGCAATGAATGAGGCAGTTTTTGAACAATAGGGATAACTCCTACTGATGAATCAAAATATGCAAGCAAAATGCTGTATCTCTCACAACTTTCACCGACTCTATTTCATTTACTAAGTCTGACAGTTCATAAAGTTTCTTATTGTCTCTAATAGTCAACTTTGGAAAGCGTGCTAGCCGAGCTTTCAGAGATGCTTCAACCATTTCAGGAGCACCATATCGCTCATCCAGTTGCTGCCATAGCAGTTCGACAGCTACCTGAGGGTTGTGAGCATTCGCAGTCTTAATACTTAATGCATGTTTTCCTGATTCTGGACCTAGCCACTTCACCATCAGGTCGAGCTCCTCACTTGGCGAAACACTCATGTCCTCCATTACGCTTAGGAATCCTGCCTTCCAGGTGCGGTATGCCTCTGGCTGGTCGTTACAGCTGCAGAGCCGTGAGAACAGTAGATCTTTCCTCAACAGGAAACGTGAAATGTCCATTGCTTGATGTGTGGGTGTGTAAACTTCAGCGTTTGGGTTAAGTTGATAAGATTTCACACCTGTGTTTTCATCGCGATCACTCATCTGTTCTGCAGTCTCATGATTGTAGTGCTGTTTAGGGTAATTGTACTCTGTCTGACTTTAATTTTTGACATAAGCCTGTGTCCGCTTTCTTGGATCTTCCTCTGGAAGAGAAATTTGTTGTCCAACCGCCTGCAGGGCTTTTACTTCAGCTTCTGCCTCAGCTGCAGCTTTCTGTTGTTGTAGGAAATGGCGGTCTGCTTCAAGTTCAGCCAATCTTCGTTTTGCTTGGGCTGCGGCGACTTCATTTTCTTCATCAATAATAGCACTTTGTCTTAGTAGACTTGCTTCTTTTGCTGCATAATCTATAGCAGCCTTTGTTGCTTCCGCTTTGGCCAACTTCCTTGCCATGTAAGAACTGGCTTGTGAATTTTGTGAACCAGATGCATGTGAAGGCACAGACCTTTCCCTTACTGCATTGTCAATATGTGTATCAATGTCACGAACAGCACTGTCCATTTGCATTGCAAAACTACTAAATGTATCCTTTAGTATGTTAAAGTCAAGTGTACTTTCTTCCGTACCAGTTCTGTTTAGGAAAGCAACAAAATCAATGAAAATGTCTCTTAGTTTGTCGAAATTGCTTCTCAAGTCTTTCTCATATTTTCTTAATGTCTGTAGATCCAATTCACCCTTCCTGATGTTGTCTATTTGCACAGCAACAACATGCCAAGCTGAGTCTAGTTTATCATTAAAATCCTGTCTGTGTGATTCATATAAACTTTGACCTTTATCAGTTAATGTTCTTTTTCGCTTTTGAACGTCACCACTATCAAGAACTTCCTCACTATCAACAACTTGTGATGATGACTCATCCATATTTGAATCCGAAGGCTTACCCTCTGCCATATTCATGTGTCTGTATATCAACACAATTCTTTGTAGATATGTTCATGAATAATGTTCATATCACTATTTCATTTAATAATTTTGGGCCAGTGTGGCGTTCCATACTCAGAAATTGTCTTTCAAAATTATTGTCTGCTTCCAGTAATGGTCCTGTCCCAATACTGACAATTCCCAATGTCTTCAACTCCAGAAGAGGTCGTGGTCAATTTACTGTGCTGTAAGCTTTTTTATTCCTCAATCGTGTGGTAAATTGCTACAATAAGAAAACAGATAATTACTTATATTGCCAAAACATATTACAATCTAAAGTTCTAAACACATGGGCCAAAATACACACGTTTTCCCAGCCAAAGTTAGCAGAAAGAGATTCTATGAATGCTTCATTCAGTTTAAAAAAGCACATGGCATAAACTCTGAAAGAGTCTGATAGAAATTCGAACCAAATTTACATTAAATGATAGAGATATGGGTTACAATGTACTGCAAAACACTATCAAACATATTGAGTGTGTACTTACACCATGGGGAACTATAGTTTGGCATGCAATGCCTTAAACCCAAATTACTAAAAAACATCGCGTGT